AGCAGGGAGCCCGATGCCGGACTCGATCCAGGGACTCCAGGATCATGACCTGAGCCGAAGGCAGTCGCTTAACCAACTGAGCCACCCAGGCGCCCAATTAGTCATTTTTTTTTTAAGTTTCAAGAAATTAAAGGAACAATTTTTCATCAAAAATAATCTCGAGGGATGCCTGGCTGTCTTAGTCAGTAGTAGAGCATGTGACTTGATCTGGGGGTCATAAGTTCAAGCCCCACACTGGGGGCTTACTTAAAAAAAACTTTAAAAAAGAAGTAAAAAAAAGTAATTTTGATACTTCATGAACCTTCTAACTAAAGTGCTGGACCAGGGATTTACGATGTTTCCTTTGGATAATGCACACAGGCAACTTTATATGATTTTTTATCCATTTCAAAAATAACAAAAAATCATTTAGAATTACATAATTTCAAAACCAACTAGCGGAGTGAATTATAAACTATGTTAATGCGAGTGATAATGGTGGTGTTGGTTTAGTTGGTAAACAGAAATTCTGGACATATTTTGTTAGGAGAAGGCTTGAATTGTGCCCGTTGGAATTGTGCCAAGACTTCAGGAATGCATGGATCTTGTAAAAGTGTTACCCTGTGGTGTCGGTTAAATTCTAACTACCTTGGCCACCTTGCTTAGTTCCTATTTTCTTCAGCAGTATAATTTTTCCACTTGAAAGTTGAAATAGTGGTTGCTGTTCACGGTGGTGCCATGAAGGGAATGAGATTGATGGCATCTTTATGAAGATCGACCAGAAAAGTTTAAGATTTGCTCACTAAATTCCAATATAGATGTATTATATTTCTAATAATACCTTAATAATAAAGCCATTGTGCTCCTCTAGCTACCCCAGTATGCCCGTGCACAGATTATTTATAATTATGACCTTTAACTACTTCACAGGGCAAGCATGAGGATTAGTGAGATACTATATAAATATATTTGAATATTTTAGAAAAAGCATCTGATGGAATCAATTTATATTGTGCGATATATTTATGTGACATTTATATATTTTGGATGTCTTCAAAATATTTCCATTCCTACATGTACTAGTGACCTCAGTCATAATTATGTTACAGCTGAGACTCTGACTTCTGACTTTTATAGTGGAAGCTTTAAGTTGAAGCTATAAATCAAAAAATATTTATTAATTTTATTTAGCTTAATAATTTAGGATGACTTGGATTTTATAGTGCATTGAGATGGAATGTCACTTGTTATATTGGGGAAGGGTGGCGCTTTATTCCTGGAGACTATGACACAACATAAATTGTTAAAGCTTTCAGTGGGAATTATACATAGGTAAAAAAATACATAGGATTTCTTTGTTTGAGACCAATAAGTAGAAGGCCCTGAAAAATATTTTCCACTGGAAATTCTATATATACATTTCAAATTCATGTTTCTGAATTCATAGATGCAGAAATATACACACACATATGTGTATGAAACAATATCCAACTAAAAACAGTATTGATGGATAGATACACTTTTTTTCAAAAAGCACTGTATCTTCCTGTTTACTTCTTTCCTAATTATCATTGTATATGAATCTTGACTTTTTAAAGAAGAGTGACTTCTTTATAGTCCATCTTAACATAGGCCTAGTAAGGTGGGTGGACATCCACAGATGAGAGCACAGAAAAGTGAGAGTGCAGAAATGTATAACTTGACTGAGGATGACCTCGTGAAATGACCCCAAGCTAAAACTCCCAGGATAACTTGGAAGCGTACCAGAATCAAAGGAAGAAGAGTCCACACTAGACAAACAGATGCAAGAAACAAGCATTTGGTTCTTCGTGAATTGTACTGATAAAATAAATGAAAAAGAAACACTCCTATCTATGTTCTAGTTCACATGAAAGCTCTGGGCAAAAGTGTTCCTAAGCAGAATGTTTTTCAAAGCTTTTTAAGAGGTGTCAACAACAGTTTAATGTCTCAGAAGTCAGCTTATAGACAGACATTTCTGGCATGGTTGGCTGTTGCAAGTTCAAATGATCAGAAAAAGAAGAGGAATGTTTCCAAAGCCTACCAAGAAAAAAACGTGTTTGAACTCTGTGCTTGGGGAGACCAATGCCCAGTAGACTTTGTTTGAAATCACTCCAATAAGAATATGTGTAGGCCAGATTAGAAACACTGGCCTAGACTGGTCACAGGGGCCCTATTTACAGAATAATTTGTGATTATTTAACCCAAGTTTTTGGCCAAGAGCTCAAGAAATTCTTGGAACAGAGTTTTAAAGCTATTTTTCAAGTCAGATGCTTGGACCAAGGAGATTTTTTATGTGTCTACCATAGCCTAAATGAATCCTGTGAGAGATGGTTCACTAAATATGTTTATCCTCTCTTATTCCTTTTATACCTTTCTCTCACGTATTTTTTCTCCCCATTATTTCTGACAGGCTCCAATGTTTTCCTGGCCCCGGTTGAGGGATGCTGACCCCATTCTGCGTTGTGAGATGGCTTCCACCGGAGAGGTAACTAATTAATGATCCCTGAACGCTTTCATTAAATCTACTTTGAAATCTATGGTTTTATGATCTGGGTGTAATACAGTAAGTAAGTTATTAAGTATTAAGGGGGACGCAAACTTCTGTTATCAGAGTAAGTCTGAAAAGGCTTAAGAATTTTGAACTAAAGAAAAATTTTGTACTTTTGTGGACCAGAGTCTAAATTTTCACTTATATTTAACTTGTGAATCTAATGTATGTGTTCCTAATTCATTTCCACATTACACATTGAGAACAGCTTCCAAAATATTTCTTTAGATGTCTAAGTAAATATCTCCTGGGTCTTTCTGCTTTATTTTAAGTTTTCATTTCAAGGTCTCTCTGTGACAGCACTTCCCACCCCCACCCCCCTCAACCTCTTTTTACTATGAAATTAAATCATTGGATTTTTACTAGCAATATGTAGAATGACTGTACAGCATTAGAAAGATCATGGACCTAAACATTGTGGAATCTGTAGATAAATGCAAAATCCCAAAACAACTTTCAAAAGCAACTTGGACCTCCTGGGGATTATCTAAAACCTATAATGGAATTGGCCACTGGATGTCCCTCTTCACTTGCGTTGAGACTCTTGTCAGCTGAAGGTTTCTTTAAGAATGTGAACTGTGTTTCTTGTAGAGAGCTGTCAGATTCTAGAAAGTTCTGTACATGTCAGTGTCAGGATATTTTATGAATCACCCAGCCCTTGACAGACTTACTAGATACAACCTTCAGATCCTCATCAGTGCACATCAGAGTGGCAACATCAGACTGTGAGGCATCATTGTTTCCTCTTGCTATTAAGGAACACCTGAAAGGGGAAAATATTTAATTACAATAAATACGTGATGTTTATGTGGTTGCCTGGTTACAAGCAACATCTGTGATGAGAAGTCAAGGGAGACAGGAAGGCAGGCAGTGAGGAATAAATGGCTATCTTACTTGTATTTGGACTGACGATTGCCTTCTCTTAGCTCCTTTGCCGCTGCTTTTAATTGAGTAGGTGAGAAAACCTAGCTTTAAAATGAGGGGCCTGCATTATAGTTCTCTGCTGTTTAGGGAGCTGCTCTTCAGGTTCACCGTGATCTCATAGTCACTTGGTAGCAGGGCTGTTTTCAGCAGACTCAGGGTTCAGATCAGGGAGAGATCTGTTTTCCTTTGTGCTGTTTTCTCTAGTGTGGTAAACTTATTTTCACTGCCTATGTCCATTCTGCCTCCGGACATACATTATTGGAGTTGTTATGAAAACATGAAAGACTTAGAAGGTCAGCTCACCTTTGTTGTGATCTATTTCAGAAGTATAGAGTTAATTCTTCTCTTATTAGAGTCATACTTCCAGGTGTCACTGAGTGTGATATTACAAGGTCTATTTCATAACTGAAATCAGAATAATAATTCTAGCTTAGGTGAAATCTCAGTTATGCTTTGAAGAGACATTTTCAGTGTCCAAATGGCTTGTGGGATTGAATAAACCTTTACCTCTTGATCTAGGTAAAGGCTGTTTTATTTTCTTAGCGGTAAGGTAAGGATGTTAGACTTGAGCTTACTTGAATATCTGACTGTTTTCTGTGTTTTCTTGTAGAAAACTGCTGAAACCTCTTGTGTGTTGTTGTATATGCTTTTATGATGGGATTGCCTGGTCCTGTCAGTAGAATTTGGGTTTCATTAACTGAGGTTGATATTACTGAGTTTAGTTGGCCATTAATTGACCAAAGAAAGAGTTTGCTGTAGAGTGAAAAGCAGCATGTACTGGTGGTTGGCTGAAGGTCATAATCATGAGAACATCCCTTTCACAAGAAGGGAGTCATTTGCTTAAAGAATGAATTTAGCCATCAGTGTTATTTACTATAACGGTGGTTCTGTACCTGTGCCAAATGATGATATGCGTGGCAGAATCTATTCCCATCATGCTCAAATATACCACTTGCTCTCTAGTTATGGGGTCCATTTGACTTGTAGTTATCTAGTAGCACAATTACCCTAGCTGAAACTTCTGTATATCCCAATGTTATATGGTAGTTTGGAATGGGTTTTTTTTGTTGTTGTTTGTTTGTTTTTACATATGGCTGTGGTATTCAGAACTAGTCTATTTTGGTTCATTTTATGAAAATGATTTTTTTAAAAAAAGGTCCTTGAGATTTTCCTGGACTTCTTGAATTTCTCAGAAAGCTCTCTCATAAGCTGTACAAAATGACTCCTACCCAAGTGATCAGCAGTCATGCATTTGTGCTACTGACCCATGAATTCACGCACTGTGGCATCGCATACATAACATATACCATTATTTAAACATTAAGTCATATTAACATTTGGTAACTTACCTGTTATGGACCAGAAGCTGTGATTTGTATCCAAATAATTCACAGTAGAATCCAGTTATGTTGCTCCACGGAGTGTTGTTGGATAGAGAAAGAATTGCTTATTCTTTCATTATGCTTAATTAAAAACATAAGATACATCTGCCCTGGCCAGCTTTTTAATCCCAGGATTCAGACTGCATGGTCTTTGGGCAACTCAATAAAATCTAGCAAAGGGCTCTATGAGTAAAGTGCTTTCCATTTGTATTTGTTTATCGGTAAGAGCTGTTGACTAGTATTTGCTTCTATTTTATTTTTTAATTTATTCTAAACAGGTGGCTTGCTTTGGTGAAGGTATTCACACAGCTTTCCTAAAAGCAATGCTTTCCACAGGGTTTAAGATACCCCAGAAAGGCATCCTGATTGGAATCCAGGTAAGTTGGTGTGTGGTTGCATGCATGCCCCTGGGCACATGCTAGGAGTGGCTGGGAAAGGACCTTAATTGTGGTATAAAAGAGGGGAGATCTGTTTTAAGCTCCACTAAAGAAAACAGCAACTAATAGAAAAAATGGACGTTTGTTCTCTTTATGTTCCCTGAGTTTTGCCTTTTTCCATTGCAGCAATCAGTACAAATAAGTGAATAAATAAGCAGAAAGAAAAAGTCTCTAGTGAAAAGGGTATTTGTTCTGAAAAGGATTTAGGATGCCTTAAACAGGAATCTCTTCTATTTCTTGGTTGTATCTTTTCTATGTGCTCTGCTCTTAGTTCTTCCTCCTTAGCCCCTGAACGTGTGTTTTCCATAAAGTTGGGTCTTACCTCTTCTTTCTCTCTTTCTCTGTCTCCATCTCTCTCTTGACTTTCCCCTTTGCCAGCTCATGTCTGTGGTATCCACTGTCCTATCCATAACTGTCACCTTTATCTTCATCCATCATCATCCCGTATTTCCAACCATCTGCTGGATACCTCTATCTGGCTGTCTCAAACGCAACACATCCCCAGCTGAAGCTGTATGATCCCTTCCTGACCTCTGTTCCTTCCTTCTTTACCTTCATTCATTCACATTTCAATTTCTACTTCCACAGCCTATGGTGGAGTGATGCCTCAATAAACTTATCATAAGTTGAAAATGTCAGAAGCCAAAAATGCGCTTAATATACCCACCGTACCGAGCATCATGGCTTAGCGTAGCCAACCTAAAGTGTGCTCAGAATATTTTATGTCAGCCAACAGTGGGGCAAAATCGTCTGACAAAAACCTGTTTATAATAAAGTATTATATACCTCATGCAGTTTACTGAATACTGTACTGAAGGTGAAAAGCAGAATGGTTTTAAGTGTATGGGTTGTTTAGCCTCATGCTTGTGTGGCTGACTGGGAGCTGCCACTAGCCCACATTGCAACAGAGTATCCTACTGCGAATCGCTAGCCTGGGAAAAGATCAACAGTCGAAATTCGAAGGATGGTTGGTACTGAATGTGTATAGCTTTCACTATTATAAAGTTGAACTTTTTCAAGTCGAGGACCATTGGTAAATGTCAAAGATCCAAAGCTGAAGAAGACATGGGCATTACTTGAAGGATTTTCTCACTCTAGGACTGATTGAAAGTTCTTGAAGGGAAGTAGCTTAATGGGCTTTAAGAAAGTTAGCAGAGCCCAGCCCACAATACACTGGGGAGGTTCTTGAATATCATTGTGTGGTAAGTCTTCTAAGTCAAAGCAAAGTGAAATAATTATAAGAGAATATCTTTATACAATGAAAAGGACATTATTGGTTTATTACTGTACATCAAATAGAAATCTTAGGGCAACGACGTGGATGGAACTGGAGGGTATTATGCTGAGCGAAATAAGTCAATCAGAGAAAGGCATGTATCATATGACCTCACTGATATGAGGAATTCTTAATCTCAGGAAACAAACTGAGGGTTGCTGGAGTGGGGGGGGGTGGGAGGGATGGGGTGGCTCGTGATAGACATTGGGGAGGGTATGTGCTATGGTGAGCACTGTGAACTGTGCAAACTGTTGAATCACAGATCTGTACCTCTGAAGCAAATAATACATTATATATTAAAAAAAGAAGAAGAAGAAGATAGCAGGAGGGGAAGAATGAAGGGGGGGAATCAGAGGGAGAGACGAACCATGAGAGACCATGGACTCTGAAAAACAAACTGAGGGTTCTAGAGGGGAGGGGGGTGGGGGGATGGGTTAGCCTGGTGATGGGTATTAAAGAGGGCACGTTCTGCATGGAGCACTGGCTGTTATATACAAACAATGAATCATGGAACACTACATCAAAAACTAATGATGTAATGTTTGGTGATTAACATAACATAATAAAATGGGAAAAAATGTACATATTATGTCGGTACACTAATGATCAATAAAGGTAGATTCCATTGGGAAAAAAAAAGAAATCTTAGGGCAAAAAGGTAGTCAGGAAACTTTTATTACTCCCTGGAATAATTATTGCAAGAATATACAGACTGTTCTGTTTGTAAATTTCCTGAAAAATACTAAATGTTTACCACCTGGTCATTCACTTACATTTAAGATTAGTAATTCTTGGGTCCTATAAAAACAATAGATGGTCTTAGATATCACTCCTGCCATACTTTTAATAAGCTCAAACCCTGCATGGTTACATAAAAATCAATGAAAATATAATTAGAGCAGTACCAGGTGTTCTCAAGCCTGTGGGTGATTATTATAGATACCATCTCATTAGGGTGTCTTAATATCAGCAAATTAGACTCTGGAGACTGGATGGGTAGTGGCTTTGGAGAAGTTTCTGCAAAGAGCAACTTGGAATTTTGCTTCATAAAGGTGCTGAAAGGGAGATGGAGAACAGTTAGAGCAGAGGCTAACAAGATGACTTGCAATTGTGAAGCATAATGGCAGTTTGGAGACACATCACACCATATGAGAGTCTCATCATGTTATAGATGAGTATTAAGTACTATTAAGTCATAAGTGTGAGAGTATTTGCCCAACTTCCAGTTATGGCTTAAAGTTTAATGTGAGACCTGGGGGCATTTAGAGGAGTCCATGCCCTTAGTCCCCGTCTTCACAACTAATCGTAATAGTGCTAACATAAAATACCAGTTTAAGAAGGCAGTGATGTATATAAAATTGTGCCTTGTTTGGTTCTAGTGCTGCAGGAAATATTAAGCACAAATTAATTCGATCCCTATGGAGTATTTGTGTGATTTTGGCATCAGTGAACAGAATTTTTTGCTTTATGGGTGGAAAAAAAAGAGAGGGTTTTGTAGGGTAAAAAGAGTTTTCTCAAAGGAATGAGGTTCTGCCCACCGAAGTTTTTATCTTTCAGTACATTCTTTTTAAAAGAGATCAGTATTGCAACAGCTACATTAGATCTTGCAAAGAACTTTTTACTTGTGTGTAAGTGCACAACGTTAGGGCTTTAGATATGTGTCTATTGTAACTACAAAGTTTAAAAAGTATATTTAAAGAAATGTTTAAGGGATGCCTGGGTGGCTCAGTCAGTGGAGCATCTGCCTTTGGCTCAGGTCATGATCCCAGGGTCCTGGGATCGAGTCCCGCATGGGGCTCCTTGCACAGCGGGGAGCCTGCTTCTCCCTCTCCCTCTGCCTGCCACTCCCAACTGCTTGTGCTCTCTCTCTCTGGCAAATAAATAAATAAAATCTTCAAAAAAAAATAGAGAAATGTTTAATATAAAATTATATTTAATAAAATATTAGTAGCTGTGGTAGATTTGATCAGCAGGAGATGGACAAGAGTCACTTTCTGACCTACTCAGTGTGGGCGGCAAGGAAGAGCTGCTGCTCCCAGCCATTCAAGGACAGCCTCTCTGTCACCATCTGGTGGATTTTCACTGAGAGTGGCTTTTAAAAACGCGTCATAAATTTAACCAAACAACATGACAGTATATACTAACTGGAGCATTAATAGCTAGAAAACTCACTGGGTATCTTCTTGAATAGCATGGGACCAAGTCTAACCCCAGCCTTTTACCTAGGCTTCCTAGAAACTGTGGACAAAGTAATTAAGGTTCCATATTTCAGTATGCATTGTACTTTTAAAAAATCATTTTATTTAACATGATTCAGCGTGGTCAGAATAATTCACATAAACTCATTCAAATATATAAAGTCAGAAGTGAGAATGACCTAAAAAAAGGACTGCTAATGTATAAATGGGCTTTAAGGCCAGTAAATACAAAGGAACACATTTTGTTTAGTTCTTGAGTGAAGTTCTAAGAAAGAAATCCACCACTGCATTTTGATTTCTTAAGATAATCATTCATTTAGCCTGATGCCGCATAGAATCCACGCACAGAGGAGCGCTGGTAACCAGCACCACTGCAGTTAATTTGCTTTATTATTCCTTCATAGAGAAGTGAGGAGGATAGTCAGGACCTGTCCCATTTATTTGAGGGAAAGGCCTTTTCACTTTATCTCCCCACCTTGACCCAGCTTCGTGCTATGAACACAAGGATTTAATTGAAGATACCTTAACTCATTCATTTTCACAACAGGTTGCAAGAGAAAATTGGGGAAAAAGAGAAATTACGGAGGAGAGGTAAAAATGACTCTGAGCCAGGAAACATTTTTTTCTTATTTTCGGTAGTTTAACACATATTTTTCTTTTTAAGATTTTATTTATTTATTTGAGAGAGAGACAGAAAGAGAGAGCATGAGCCGGGGGAAGGTCAGAGGGAGAAGCAGACTCCCTGCTGAGCAGGGAGCCTGACGAGGGACTCGATCCCAGGACTCCAGGATCATGCCCTGAGCCGAAGGCAGTCGCTTAACCAACTGAGCCACCCAGGCGCCCAACACATATTTTAAATAGTAATGTATTACTAGCAAGTATCAGCCACTTCTTAACATTTAGTAAATAGAGAGTGTGTGTGTGTGTGTGTGTGTGTGAGGGCACACACATGCTAATTTGTTATACTGTAGTCTTCCTAACCTTTTCTTTCTCTTCTCTTTCCCACCCTACTCCTTTATACACACAGACCCTCTGTTTCTGCCCTCCCAAAGTTAAATGCTATGGGACAAATCACCTGGGGAATTTGAAATATTCATAACATCAATTGTATATAACTAGAACTTAGGGGGGGAAAAAGTCAAGATTTAGATTTTGTCAAAGGATTCTTGTCAACTCTTACATGCACTGGGTCTCTAACAAGAGGTCTTCCATAGGCCTAGATCCTAACATAAGAAAGGCATAATGTAGGTTTATATGGCAACAAAATCATCCTTGTTTTCCCTGCAATATTTCCAGCCTCCTTTCATCCTATCAGGATTTATTTTTAGTTGCTATGAGTAGGCACTCTGCCCTGTTTTGAAGTTATCTGGAACACCCTTTAACAATAAATGATTTACTCTAGAGCACATCAAGAGCACTCACTGTTTTTTCCCCTCTGATTGGGCTATTCAGCGATGTTTGTGGAGTGGCGAGCACCATCCTGACATCTGCGCTTCAGCATTGCTCAGAAACACAAAGCAAGCATTTTATTTGAAAAAGACAACTCCAAGTGACATGAATAACCTTTTATCTTCAGTACAGAATCATTAGGAACAACCATAGAGTTGTCGGTGCAGACGTCCCTACGGAGTCCGCAGCACCACACAATATTAACTTGGCTTTCTGTTCTGCAGCCAGAAGTTGGAATAATGTGAAAATGATAATTGGAGGAAATGTATATATTTTTTTTCATTTTAAAAGGACTTTCTTATAAACATTTTCCAGGAAATAAATCAGCTTGTACTTTTCACCTTTAGTAACAAATGGTTTCTTACCCAGGTATTTTCAATCAGCTATTAAATCCGGGGCTACTCAGATGCAAGCTGACAGCTGTAATTTCTTTTTGTAGAGAGGCTGTTTTATGTGTCACAAGTGTTCAATACATGTTTGATAGAAGTTTATAATGTGGCTATGAAAGCCAACACCCCAGACCAGAAGGCAGAGTGGTTCCCCGGCTGGGAACTGCCAATACTGTCATGTTGGATATTTATCTTTTCCACTTGGGGGACAGCATTGAAACAGCTCCATAATGAGGTTCTGACTGGTATCTGCAGGTCTTAGAGGACTTGCTGACTTATTTTACTTTAAAATAGCAAAGAAAAAAATTACATTCTGGTACTCCTTCCTCAACATTTTTTCATTGTGACTTTGGCCAAGGTTAATGGATCTTCACCTCAAATTACAAAATGAGTGAAGGATGGGTCTCCTAGTCCTTCTTCCCTCCTACTCCTAAACTTAAGTGTGCATCAGAATCACCTGGAGGGTTTGTTAAATGCAGATTATTGGGATTCACTCTCAGAGTTCCTGATTCCACAGATCTGAGGTGGGACCCAAACATTTATACCTTTTTAAAAAAGATTTTATTTATTTATTTGAGAGATAGTGACAGAGATAGCGAGAGAGAGCAGGAGCTGGGAGGAGAGGGAGAAGCAGGCTCCCCGTTGAGCAGGGAGACTGATGCGGGCTTGATCCCAGGACCCTGGGATCATGACCTGAGCCAAAGGCAAATAGATGCTTAACTGACTGAGCTACCCAGGTGCCCCTTAACTTTTATATTTTAAAACATGTTCCCAGGTGATGCTGATTTCCTGGGGAACCACATTTTGAGGACCACTGTGCTTGTGAAAGGATATATTTTTTAAAGATTTATTTATTTATTTTAGAGAGAGAGTTTTGAGGGGGGAGGGGCAGTGGGAGAGGGAGAGAGAGAATCTCAAGCAGACTCTGAGCTGAGCACAGAGCACTACACAGGGCTCAGTGCCACAACCCTGAGATCATGATCTGAGCTGAAACCAAGAGTTGGACGCTTAATCAACTTTGCCACCCAGGTGCCCCGAAATGATATTTTAGAAAATGGTTTCAATGTTATGTTATCACATGGCCATATATTATTAGTGACATTTTGCTAGGGGAAAATTTAAGAAATTGAGAATAGTTTGTTCAATATATAATACATCAGTTAATAAATAAGTGGTTGGACAACTTTATGTTGCATCTTCTACTGTGCTCTGGTGCTTACTTAAGTCTGTCTTGTGTTTAGCAGAAGGTTGCAGTGTATTGTTCCAAATCAGGGAGATTTGACAAAATTAAGAAGTTCATTTAGAATATTTCATGCATATTTACTACATTTCAAGGAACCTTAAAATGTGAAGAGACCTAAAATGGCATCTAATTCAGTCCCTTGCTTTCCAAGTAGAATCAAACTTGAAAAGTCATTGTCCTCTTCTTCTGCCTAACCTATTCTTAAGGAGACTGCCATATGCCTCATTAAATTACCCTAATGTCACTGAGTTACTCTGATTTTATACTTATTTATTTCCTTTTTTATGTCTAGCCATGAGCTTCTTGCACCTAAGGCCCATTTCTTCCTGTTTCCATTTCTTCCTAAGCAGGAATGGAAAGCTACTATCCTGGGCATGGTTACAATTTGTGTTCTAGAAGACTGTCCATGAATAACCCCTGAGCCCGCCTTAGCTGAGATTCATCAAGTTGCATTTATCTTTTCTATTTGCCAATAATTTCCTCTCATAAAACTGCAGTTCTGGGATTGAGATGGCCTGAATCTGAAAGAATTTTATATTTGAACATAGTCTTTGGAGTCTTTTCCTAGGATTTAGATCTGTTCTCAGAAAGCCTCTGCAAGTAAATATTAGGAGGTTTTATGGGCTGAACATTATCAAAATTGTGCAAGGATCTTGATATGTTTTATTATCGCAATTCTTGGTTTCTCCAAGATTCTGAAATAAGATCATCTCCTTGATTTTTTTTTAGCTGTTACTAATATGGTTTCTAAATAGATTATAAAACATTTACTGAAGTAACCAAATTATTTCATCTGTTTATAAACTTTTTACAAGGGAAAACAGCCAAAATGTTCAGCCAAAAGGCAGAATAGATATGTTTTTAACTGTGTATGATATTCATATTCTATTTAGCTCAGTTACTCAAACATTCAAGTTAATGAGGTCAAGGTAAGGGACTGACTTTTGGGTAGGCCACTTAGCCTTTTTTTCTCTCACCGTGACCACTGTCTTGCAAATACTGGCTTGTGGTCACAGGAAGGGGGTAAGTTCAGAATGGAAGAACTCTGGTGACAATGTGTAGGAGTCCAGGGAAAGCAGGACCTGGAAACCAGATGGGTCCAGCTGAGACTCTAGGAAGTTCACAATGATGGGCTCTAAGAACATATCTGAATGGTGAGATGGAACATGAGGGAATCTTGTCTGGAAGTAAAATATATGTGAAGAGGAAGTTGGCTTGTATTTGAAGTATGACAGTCAGTAGACGAAGCCAGGCTTGGAAACTATGGTGCAGGGACAGGAATCTAGCCTCTGGGAGGCTGAAGAAAAAAACATCTTAATAATAACAATGAATACTTAATGAGAACTATTAATGGACAAGTAACCTTGTACAACAACTATTAATGGACTAAGTTCCTATATGGACACTTAAGTAATGCTTACTCATGAATTAACTCATTAAATACTCACAAGGACCTGTTGACACAGACACTGTTACTATTTCCATTTAACAGATGAGGAAAGTACATCACAGAGAGGTTAAGTAAGTTGCTCAAGGTCACACAGTTTATTGTAGAGTCCCAAGAAATAGATACACTACTATGCTCACTGCAGTTTTAAAAAGGAAGAAATGGAGACTCAAAGACATTAACTTTTCTAAGGACACACTAAAAATGAATGGTAATGCCAGGATCTCAAAGGCAGCTTAGTGACTCCAGAGCCCATTCTTTTACTCTTCACTTTAAAGTTAATGCAAAATTGAGTCCAAAATGGTTGACTTATTGAAGGGAGGTTTGCACAAGCTGCTAGGACAGGGCCCAGTCTCCTAAGAGCAGGACCAAGTTAGAAGTCAGCCGGTTGAGCAGGCAGAACAATTAGCAAGGCTGAGCTGGTGTTGGACTCCTACCCCAGGTGTCTTTAAATTCTCCCTGACCTGGGGAAGGATCCCTGTAGGACTGAGGTGGATCTTAATCTGCAGACAAAGTGGATTAAGTAGAGAGTAAAGGAATTTGAGCCCAAGGTGAAAAGTCAGACTGTAGAGAGCAAGACAATGTGGGTGTAATCTTATCTATATCAGAGAAATAAGTAAGAACTCGTACTTACTTATAGGAGGAGTAAAGGATTGAACTTGTCACCTTTGAATCTAAAGCACCTGGCAACATATGGCATTGCCTTGGATGATGGTGTGAGTAAATAATCATATTGCATGTGACTAAATGAAAAGCAGTGTATCTAGAAAGTGAATTTTGTCAAATTCTAATTTCAGCAATCATTCCGTCCCAGATTCCTTGGTGTGGCTGAACAATTACACAATGAAGGCTTCAAGGTATGTGATATTAATTTTTTTCAAGTCGTTTTCTATAAGCATTGAGATCTATTCACAAAAGAGAATATTAATGAATCTTAAGGAATGAAATACCTCAAAATATATCCTTTCAACTTGAAAGATTTAACTAACGTGATTAGTTTAAAAACTTCAATAGAATAAAATTATTAGAAAGACTAGTTTTAACAAAGGTACCATAAGCTCCACAGGAGTTGCCAGCTAAAAACTTAGAAAGTTTAGTTTATGTGGATTTGGGACAAAGGTCCAATGCGTTTCCAGTATATTTTTCCTTTTTCCTTTCCTTGTTTCCATATGAAGTCATAGTTTCCAGCTGTTGCAGTTATAGGCAAAACTTCTTTGCCACAAATACCTCCATGCAAAGCCCGGTTCAGTAAAACAAGATGATTCCAAAGGCTCAGAGTGGGCCTGTGGTCATGGGGCTTTGTTGATTTGATAACAATGAATCCTCAGCCATGAATATTTCTTTATTTTTTTCTTCTACAAAAGCAGTTACAGTTGAGGTCATTAAATTGTTCCTTAGAATATTTTAAAAATACTTAAAGTGCCCATGACTTGGGACAGAGAGTCCAAATCTCTATTCATGATATTATTGCTTCTCATATACACCACTTTCTTATACTTCATGTTTTAAATGATGGATGTGTCCCAGTAGGTTTCTTTGCTCCATGAAAGCCTTCCCTGTGATACAGTAACTGACTTTTCCATTTTAAATGCAGCTCTTTGCCACGGAAGCCACGTCAGACTGGCTCAATGCCAACAATGTCCCTGCCACCCCAGTGGCATGGCCCTCTCAGGAAGGACAGAATCCCAGCCTCTCTTCCATCAGAAAGTAAGAACTGGGCAGAGTTCTATCCTCCTACAGATAGAGGATTAACTTCGGGAACTAGTATGATGTGAATACTTCACCTTACCCTATTGCAAGTCTTCTAAAAGTCCTCTTAGCCATTTCAGATGAATAAATCTGTGGATTTATTCATCTGAATTATTTATTGTAAAATTTCATTCTCATGAACCATTCTGTTACTATAACATATAATGCCATATGTCTACGTGGTGATACATAGCATCTTTCAAGATATTTTCTAGTAAGGATGCTTTTCTGGATGGACACCAGTGATGAGAGAGACATGAAGAATGTAATGCAGCACTTTATATTTTACATCAAGCTTATATTGTATATAGATGTGTATATCAAATATAAGATTGACCTGCTGCATTTCACTGAGGTTGTGTGTCAATAAATCAGTCCAATTTATTGAGCACTTGCTATATGCAGGAGACTGTGGTGAGTGGTAGGGTAATGCCATTGAATTACCTGATTTACTATTCTCTGATCTGGTTGGTTATTATGCCTCAGGCTGTGTCGTCATTAGATTTGGTAAGACATATTATTTTAGTGCACTATGTGAGTCTTTAGGGACTACATTATATCGACACTTATAAGTGTCGATGTAATATATATATGGCCTAGGTACATAAGAGATAATTCTCAGTTGTTCTAGGATATTACAATCTATTAAATGGCTACCATTTGTTAGGGCTCTCAAGAAGGCAACCTATAAATCATTATCAAATTAATAAAAGAAGGGCAAATTGTTCAGACCTTAGTAGACTTCCACTGAAGCTATAAGCGCTTGGTTAGGACTTTGTAAAACAACAATTAGCATTACTTCATGTTTTTGACATTTAAATGTCTCCTAGTACCTATAGCAGCCCAGCAACAGAATGTGAAGTGATTTATTTCAAAATCAGGTGACCTGTGTTCTCACACCATTAGCTGGAGGCACTGGGAAGCAGGCAGTGAGGTAAAGTTAATCTGGGAGTTGGGAGTATGAAGGTGGAATGGACTTCAATACTGGAGAAAACCTCCTTGTAAAATAAGTAAATACCTATCAAATTACCAATTCTTCTATGGATAGATGAAGCATTTGAGAAAGAAAAATCTTTCCATTTAATTAGTTAGACTTTCACCAGAGTTCTTTCAAGAACACAATAAAAAATTATAACCCCCAAATGAGTATAATTTGAACATCTATTTAGGAATAGAGGAGGGCAAGTGGCAGTCAACTCAGTATGGCATTGACTTGAGTGGCGTAAGAGAATAATTACTTTAGTATTTTGAAAACTAATTATAAAATATACATTGCCACTTACAAACTTTTGTTTATTTTGATTGTTCTTCCAGATTGATTAGAGATGGCAGCATTGACCTGGTGATTAACCTCCCCAATAACAACACTAAGTTTGTCCATGATAATTATGTGATTCGGAGGACAGCTGTTGACAGTGGAATTGCTCTCCTCACTAATTTCCAGGTATGTTCTTTTCCTTAAAGACAGCTACGTGCAGGTTTTTATTTCTGTGTCACCCTTAAGAGTATTCATCAGCATATGCACATCCCTCTTCTCCCCTTCTTGTAACATTCAGAATGGAGAAGAATTTTTAAATAGAATCTAAAATAATGGTGCTTTTAGGGTAGGTCATGGCCTAACTGAGACAACTGGTGATCAAGCAATTGAAATAATCAAAAGCCACGGATAGCCATGCTCTCATTAGCCATACTATTATCTTTTAAATAAAAAGTGTGGTGTGGCATGGAATAAAGATACAAACTTTTATTCCATTGTTTCTAAATGAAAGGCACCATAAAAGAGCAACAGGTTAATGATAATTGAAGATCCAGACACAGTGCAAGCACTTGTCCAATTCACAGAAAATGATCACCTGAGGTATGCTTAGTTCCACTTGGACATGACCCACCAAATTTATCACGGAGAAGAACTGTACTTCAAGACTCAGTAACTTTCTACCCATCATATTTTTTTTCCCCCGAGTCGGTTTTAATCCCTGGGGGAGTTGAGGGGCAGGGATTAGCTTATTCATGGTAAGGTCTGAAATACAGGAGAAAGTCCCGAATAAATAAAAATTTTTGTGTCTTTCATCACATGTCCCTTTGGAAATTAGGAGCAGAAACTGACCTTTCACTCCTGCTTCATTAAATACTCACTTTCGTGGCATGTGAGTCACTAAGATTCCCACCCTTACATTTTCAGGTGACCAAACTTTTTGCTGAAGCTGTGCAGAAATCCCGCAACGTGGACTCCAAGAGTCTTTTCCACTACAGGCAGTTCAGTGCTGGGAAAATGGCATAGAGCATAAACACCCAGCTCCAGCTGAAATCAACCCAAGCCACACTGGATCTAAAGGAACGGACTTCCAGCCGTCTTCCATAGAGACAAATACTGACACCAAACTATTTTCAGTTTACTTGGTTATGCCTAAATGTTCTTTTCTTTCACAAATTGTTGTCCGTCACTTTTTACAAACCTTGCTTAAACTTCTTCCTAAATAACTTGTTCTACATGAGAATTCATCTATTTTCTAATGCCTTATTTTTGGTGGGGCAAGCTTACCTATGTGCCTCTTTGCAGCTAACATTTTATGGTGCTGATGAATGATGATCAAGGTAGAAAATGTCGCTGCTCTATTTTCTGAACTATTCCCATACATACTTTCAATACACTATTGTCATTGCTTTTAAGTAGCATCTGCCACACAGGACATTTTAACAAGTCAGAATACTAAAAAAATTTGTTAAAACGAAATATGAATTTAATTTATGAACCCCTTTGTAATGATGTTTGTGTAATGCATCTTTTTGATAATTATGCTCAATTATCTGGCTCACCCAGGAATATTCCTATTCCTTTTCATAGTACTGACTTTGAGAAGTGGCAGAGGTCTTTAAAGTATGGATTTCTTCAGAGGACACTGGTTTGCAGTTTTGTGTTTTGGAGTATGTCAGCAGATAGCAGATACTGCTGAGGTGGTTTTCTGTTCTTGTTTTCCTTTGGATTTTAAACCAGAGCCAAGTGAAATCTTCAGATTGATACCATCTCTCTCCACCTCTACCCAACCCCCGGCAACTTTGGAATAACTTGGAAGTTATGTCCACTCCCTTCAGATTATGGATTCTGTTGATTTACTGAGCCCCATATTGCACTATGAATTCCACACATTTTAAACACAAGGTCCCCATTCCTTCTGCCTACAAGAAAAGTCCTTCCTACAGGCAGCCTGTGTAACTTTTAAACATTTTGTGTATTACAAGTGCTCTAATTGTAAACTTTTAAATAAAATGCTATTAAGAGGCGATATATTTGTATTCTTGCATTTATTTTATTTTATTATATTCTTAACTTCTATTTAACTGATTTAACAAAATCAGTTCACTTCTCTGATGAAACACGGTTTTGAGCCAGGATTATGTCACTTTTTCTCTAAAAGCCATATAGGATATAAATGAGCAAATTAATGTTAAAAATAATGACACCTAGGCTGTTACATTTTTCTTTTTTTTTTCTTGTTCCCTCACCTTGTTTATAAGTCTCATTAAAATTTATTATGTTGTTATATGGTTATATATTGTCTTTGATCTGAATCCTTTCAAATATATACAACCACACACTGACTAAAGATCGCCACATAGATATAATAAACTTTTAAACAAATGTCTTGCATAACACAGAGACGTACTTGACCCTCTCAGAAGCTGATCCGTATCGCCTGGTGGAGATAGTGCTAAAGGTCCCAGTGTAATCATATCCCAGAAATACCACCTAAAATGGGGCTTCGTGAAGGTCCTAAGATAATGATGGCGTAATACTGTGTATCCTTTCCCTCTCACCCCATAGTCAAGGGATTACCACTTGATACAGGTTTACATGAAGGCTTTGCAAATTCGTTTTCTCCTTCTCTCCTTGTTACCACTGTGGTTGAAACCTTCATTACTTCTTCCCTTTAATATTAATGTACTCCCTGAGCATCCATCCATTCATGCACTCACCTGAAAATATTTAGTAAGTTTCTGCAATGGTTGGTGTAGGATATACCGTGTTCCCTCCTATCATTCTAGTGCTTTTCTGATACCGTACCACTTATCACCATCACACCCCCATAATAACTAACATCATGGAGCACCTACTATTCCTCAGGCCACTCTAAACACTACATGATTTAACCCACTTAATCCTCTAAATAGCCCTAAGAGTAGGTGCTGTCATCTCCATATTATAAATAAACAGAGGCATACAAAAGTAAAGTGACATGACCAAGGTCACACCCAGCGCAGTCTCACTTTTTTTTTTGTCTTATAATGAAGACAAACATGTAAAGTAAATACATTTCTCACAAAGAAGAAAGACTTAACTTGCCTGTAAAGAGCAGGGAAAGGCTTTTCTGGGGAGATGACCTCATATGTTATCTGGAACATCATGTCATAAATCCCCAGGGAAACGAAACAGGACGTCCATTGGAGGAAATTACAAGTAATTTGCATGATGAGCTCGGGGTATGTGTGGAGAAAGAGGGCAAGAGTCAGAAATTGAGGCCAGAATCTTGGTTGTATGTGTGTAAGCCACATGTAAATTTTTAAAACTTTGTTTGTAAATAATTTTGGACTTAAAAAATTGCAAAAATAAAAATTGTACTCTCTTTACCCAGATTTACCTATTGGTAATATTTTACCCTATTTACTTTTTCTCACTTACTTTTTTTTTTTAAATAAGCTCTACATCCAACATGGAGCTTGAACTCATGACCTTGAGGTCAAGAGTTGTAAACTTTATTGGCTGAGCCAGCTAGGCACCCCTATTATTACTTTAACATTTGTGTATTATGTATGTATGTATGTATGTATGTATCCATCCATCCATCCATCCATCCATCATATTCATCTGTTTCTATCTAAACACACGCACACAGAAGAAGGGAAAAGGTACACTTCAACCAGAAGTAATTAGGCTGCTAGTGAGCAATTTAGAAATGTAACTCATAGTTTGAGACAGTGTTGCTCACTGAAACTACCAGACATTGGAAACAATAGTTAAGTTTTGTATTGTGGGAATTTAATAAAGGTTCTTAATTTCTATATTAATTTGAACAGACAATTTGTAAAATACAATAAAATGAGAAGAATAATAGTAATGAGGGCGCCTGGGTGGCTCCGCTGGTTAAGCGACTGCCTTAGGCTCAGGTCATGGTCCCGGAGTCCCGGGATCGAGTCCCACATCGGGCTCCCTGCTCAGCAGGGAGTCTGCTTCTCCCTCTGACCCTACCACTTTGTGCTCTTTCTCTCTCTCAAATAAATAAATAAAATAAAATCTTAAAAAAAGAAAGAATAATAGTAATGAATCAAGCAGCATTATTCCTAAATAAAGTCCATATTTTTTTTTTTGGTGAAATAAAGGGTCTTTGGAAAATGGAAGACAAAATATATACTCTCTCCCTTGTGTTGATATGAAATTACATTAATTTTTGTTTTTGTTACCTTTCTGTTTTGTAATGTTTCAAACTTAATACTTTAAACACAAATGAAAATGCATTCAGGAGCTTTGGTTGGCAGAAGGAAATGCAAGGAAATGGAAGCAGATTTGTGTTCACATTTGGCCAGGTTTTGTCCTTTTGGAACATTTTCTTCTTTCATATAAACAGGTTAACGCGTTTTTTAAATGTCTGAATCTGTTATATATCACAAGTGCAGACAGACAACATGGGACTATGTCTGTGGAGCTGAATAGATCATCGAAGTAGCTTTTTCCATACCGAGAATTTAATAGCATGTAAAGGAATCAAGACCGCGCTACTGGCTGGGGAGAAAAGGAGCTCAGCCAGCTTGTGAAATGAAGAAGAGGAATAAAGACTGATCCGTTTATAGATTTAAGATTTTATGGCTTTGGAAAGGTAAGTAGAATATTTTACCTGTACCTCCGTCAAACTTCCCTCTTAAACAGCATTCCTACTGGAAACTTTTAAAAACAGCCTACAACATTCCGTTATCTCAACAGCTGCAGGTACTTGAACCTCAGCTTCTACGAGTGTCCGCAGCCTCTTGAACAATGAAAGTGGAAATTATCAGAGAAGCAAACCATGGCTGAATGCAGTTAAGTGCTCTGTAATTACACACCAGTATTACCACATGACTGCTGGTGTGGACCCACAGCCACAGGTGCCATAAATGCTCACACACACCCAGTCAAATCCACAAAGACCTTTCATTACATATCATTTGAGGCACCCTTAGCTTGAAAGAGACTAGCTCAACTTTCTTTCCCTTCTTTCTCTTACCGTTTCTTTTCGCTTTGTTCTTATACATAAAAATTCCATCTTTCCTAATGAATCTTACTGTGCTATTTTATGAGAAGCTGGTGCGACTGGTGAGCGTGAAGGTAATGTGGCAGGGGGAAGAATGTCTATCCTCCTCCTGAGTGGTTCCCAGGGCTCTGTGAAAAATCAGCAATAATCGTCCCTACTTCTTTTGCGCATAATGTAGGGTGCAAGGTTTTCCAGAAAGAGAGTTTAAGTACCTACAGCTGTTGAGATCAATGCGGTAATGGGGAGAAAAAAACCTCAGCAAGTCAAAATTAGCACCATTTGTGCATGCTTCTTGTTGCTTAAAGATTATTTTTTGAGTCTTGACAACTTTGATTTTATAAAGGACTTGTAGCCACTCAAAAAAACCTATTGGTTGTTGACCGAAACAAAAAATAGATTTTTCTGGTAGCATTAAAGGTCCACTTTCTCTCTCCTGAAACTACCAGCCTAGCTAATTATTTCTTTAAGGCCGACCCTAGAAGAACCACACAAACCACAGAAAAGGGCTTTTGTTTATCAAAGGAAGCAACACCAGCAGTCTCACAAAAGAGTCAAAGATGCTGTGTCTCCAAATGACAAATTCCCACACAAAGCTTGGTGCCGTTGGCAGCCATAAGGAAGACAGACAAGATATCAACATGCAGAAAGGGAAGAGAATCCAACAAGCTCAAAACATGTTATTAAAGAAGAGAAATAACTTGAAAAAATGTACATATTTTATTAATAAACATTCTAATGGCCAGTGTCTAGATGACTGTATTTTCCTTTCTGAAACTTAAGGGCATTTGACAATCTCTTTCATAGTCTCCTTTCTACCTCCCTATGAAAGATCCTTAAGGATGAAATATGGCAGGGCTTTGAGGTCTTAGCATAACAGAAATACTCTGCTAAGTGTTTTCCATAACTCTTTACAAATTTCCATATAGAAAGCTGCAAGTGAAATTTATATGAAATAATTTAATTAGATTGTAACATTTATTTTAATCTCTCCAAGAGGATTTACATATGGATCCTTTTTAAAAATATATTTTCTAATTAAAATGAGGACATAATGTCATATTCTTTGCCAGGTTTGATATACTTTCTTTCCGACTCAATTCCAATATATAGGGAGTCTCTGGGGAAAGATGGTGGTGTTGCAGTTAAAATATGAATGAATAGGAGTTTAGAGATTTTTTAAACCTTGAGGCATAAGTATTTGATGTAAATTAGGCTCATACTTTATTTATTGTATCAGAATAAGATAAAACAACACTGAATTGACCCTCCCCAACATTGGAGGCCTCCAGAACAAAAAATCAGGTTGTGCTAATTGTATCATTACCTGCCTTGGGGTACTGTGTGAGGTCCTGTTTGCTTAGGAAGTAACTTACTAACTCTGGCACCTGGTTCTGTTGAAATCTGTGGACCTGAGTTTCCCATTGACTTCTGAACGCCAACAGATGGTACTGTGTAGACTGAACCATCAGGGAATGGTAAAACTCTCTTGGAGTTTTACCATGCTAATCTCCATGGAAGGCTGGTTTTAAGCAGATATTCTCAGAAGTACATGAACCACACGAATTTTTCGGTCACATATAGTAACTAAATGTCCGTCTGTACTAATGTCCGTAAGACGGGGTTGGTGTTACTCAGTGATAGTTTTCTTTGATCCATTGAAGTTACCCCATTATAAATAATTCCAGATCATCTCAGCATCCTTTTTCTTTAACCTGAACCTAGAGCTGAGGGCCAATCATGAGTCTCTGGTGCTGCAGAAGGTGGAGCCTACAGAAAGCAGAGAGATATTGTCTTACTGACTTACACTTCGGGAACCTAAATGATAGTAGACGTTCAAAACTTGAATCCACAATGTTTTGATCCTAAAAAAATAATAATGGTAAGAAGTTTTTGATCAGAATGATTGTGGTCCTGTCTTCTCTTAATTTAGGGGTTCCCTTTTCCTCTCTTGGCTACGGGGACCTTGTCCGGTATCCACTGGCCTCCAGACTTAATGTTGCTCT